GTCAGGACCATTGGGTCGACACAAAGGGCCCATAACTCAGGTGGAGGAACAATGATTTAGGCAAAAAATTTAGCCATTTAACCCAACTTTATCCCTAAAAATACCATTTAAGTCTTTCCTAGGTTTGCTACTCCATAAAATTACAAATATGTATCACGAAAAAATTACCCACAATTTTAGGTATTGCCTACTTCAAACGATTTTGTTTGGGTAAAATTTGGCGCAAAATCCTTAGCGAAAGGATTATTTGTATGCTTAATTCGGTTTATTTAATTGCAGAATTGTTCCGAGTTGATTGAGGTCGTAGGTTAATGAGACTGTCTGTTTGATCCGCCTTCTCAATGCCTTGCATTAATTATTTCCATGCTGATAACAACAACACCTTTGTAACTGTTTAACCCCAGTCCCATCTGTCAAGCTGCCACCTTCACTGATTTTGCTATTCTCCACTCTAAACAGAGCGCTTCCCTTTTATGTTAATTAGTTTCATGGCAGATGCATGATAAATGACATCCGCTTGGCCACCCTCAGACTAACCCACACACATTGAAATGTTCAGTCTTTTATTTAGTCGATTCATTAATTTCATGTCCTCCTGCTAAACACTTTTGTCTGTCGCTTGATGTGTCCACCGTCGGGAAGGCAGGATGCATGGGCAGTGGTTTTCGTAACTGACTTGGGCATTCACCGGAGCATCTGGGGTTGGAAATAAAGGGGGTTAGATGGTGTTGCTATCACTTTTCCTGTTTAAAGTACCTTAATAATGACAGCTGACTCAATTAGACAATGTAGTGCTTTTGGTTGTCGAAAGAGATTCCGAGTTAGGGATGGTGATGTTTGGAATTTGGATTACATGACGCCAGTGAGGGATTCGGACCTGGTCTTGTTTACTAATACCACCTCTACATTCCTTAGACTTGAGAAGAGTTTCAGGTGTAGAAACTTCATAAAGTTTACTAAAGTACAACATTTCACATAACTTTATGGGGAATATTTTTGCTTTAATTGTTTAAATGATAAGAGAAACGTGGATTATGGTTGACCAATGGACGTACGTGGACCTGCGAGGTGAATCGGTGGTGACAGGTGGATTGAAGGTGACTGATGCCTTTTTCTGTTTCATTCTTCGATTTTGAAACCAAATTTTTATTTGCATTTCAGTGAGTTTTAATTGTTCAGCCAGTTCCATTCGACGCTGTTGAGTGAGATAGGCGGAGTAGTGAAATTCCTTCTCCAGCTCCACTAACTGGAGACTGGAATAGGATGAACGTGGACGTTTCATGGTAAAAGGGATTTTGGAACCTCTCTCACGACTAATCACACTTGATTGAGATGTCATGTTATAACAAATTGGTTGTAGGGAACATTGAGTGGTGTAGTCAACTAAAAGCAAAAATCTCCCATTAATATGGTTTTAATAACATTTCCTTATAAAGGAATCTACGTCAAAAAAGAGTACTTTAGTGGTTAAGCAAGAATGAGGTGAAGATTAGGGATAATTTAAGAGATGATGAGGTGAATAGTGCAGGTTTTTGGAGACAGAAGACAAGGGCATTTTATGCTCTTCTCTGATGGTGATAACTGGCGCCATTACCAAAATGAATCGATGATTGACGAACCGAAGAGGGTAAATAAGAAGTGATTTGGTTGATTGCAATAAAGTAGACAATTTTTTTGTTAGAAGTCCCTTGCTTAGGCATATGTGGTACCCCATGCTTAGCCAAGAATGTCTTGCAACCAGTTTTCGTTTCGCTTGCAAGGCAGTCTCTTTTTGCCCCTCCTCACATTTATTTTACAGTCGTTTGAACCTCTAACCATAGCTAATGCTTTAAAATTGTATAAATTACGAAACATCCTCTTGTCTACGTAGCAAATGGTGAAACAAAGAAATTCCAGGCCTCGTCCCTATGCGTAATAATTTAGATGATTAATCTCATAATAAATGAGGAGAACTTCCTAATTCTCTCCTAGAAAAATGAAAATATGCTATACTGTTTACGTAAGATGCATTTGAGATCGGGTGCTGAAAGGCGCTTTCTAGTAAAAAAAACATTCTACTAATAATTCAAGGCAATTGTCACTAATCACAAAACTCTGAGTTATATCCTCCAAATATCGTATTTTATGTAACAGTACAATAAATAATAGGCATAAAATAAGGAGAAAAATGTTACCTCTGTTTAACAAACCCTGACCGAATTCCAAAGCAGGGTGATTGCAAGGGCAAAATGAACATGACATGTTTTGCGTGTTCCACGTCAATTGGTGAGAGGAATTTTTCGAGATGTTAGGCATATACTTGTCAGTTAAAGTTTTACCACTGGAATGTCCTGGTTGCATGCCTCCCAAAGTGAGACCGTTAGTAAAATGCACTGTTATAGCCGAAGAATTCGTGCCCTTTGTTGATTGGTCAGGACAATTAGCACTTAGCGGACTACTCTTTATACTAGAATCTGATTTGTTAATTGGATATTGGGGCGGGCTTAACCAATAGGAAAACTGTCCCCTGCGTCTCCTCACAGCTTGTCTGGATAAGGTATAAAATCAAAGGATTTAGTTAGTTAGTTAGTTAGTTAGATAGCTTCTTTTCCTTTAAGAGTCCTGGTATGTGCTTCAGTAGATTGAGTTAATAGCACCATGTTTCTTAATTATGTTGCCATCTGTATCTGGGATGAATTTGAAGTTATGCGACTATGAGTGTCGCTAGCTATGATAGCACCTTATATCACTGGATTTATTTCATATTCCCATGTTTTGAGTTCTGGTTATTATTTGCAGTAGGCTAATAGCATGCCCTAAAACTCTCCCGGATTACTTGTTTGATAGTAGGAGGCAATGAGTATGGTCGAAATGCTTAGAAAATGATGGAAGGGGTAAAAGCGATGTCATGGCCCGACTTGAAGGCCAGCACACACAATAAATGCGACATGGCTGCAAAACTGATCACCTACTTTGCCATCTGAGAGCAAAAGACCTAAGGATTCTCAACTTTTTGCTGTTTGAGACGGGCCTTAGAACCCAGTAGGAAGGGACTAGAAGGATTTTTCCATAGTGTTTTGACTTTATAATCATTATAAAGGAACAGAGGACAACACTGCATTTCTGCTGGAAACGGTAGCGATCTCAAATCCCGACAGACCTCGAATAATCATAACATGCAATATTATCTTGACTTTTGCTATTTTCAGAAAACTTTTACACTGTGTTGCTTTGAGATTTGTAGACAGCTGAAAAAATGACCGAATAATTGAAAAAAAAATATATGAAATGAAGGCAAACGTAGTTCTTAATGTTTAGACTGATACATATATCACTAAACATAGGCATGAAGCCGATTATTGCTAGGATGAAATATGCAACCACATACTAAGCAGATTTCCGGCAATACTTTGTTTATTCGTTCCCTTGTATTATTTCGTAACTTTGATGTTCAATTTGAACATGATTGGGTAAGACGTCATGCAGACAATGCCCAGCCTCCAAATCTTCACCTTTTCTCTGCTATCGAGCATTCAGACTTGCCAAATGCACTAGTACCGAATAAACAGGCTTATAAAGTTGCATTGTGAACAATTAAATTTAAAGAATCAAGTTTAGATGTTAACTAAAAATAACAAGTCATTGCAAACTACACTAAATTAGTAGCAGAAGGAAGTGGTCTATATCCCGGCGCTTAACCTTTTAGACATATCGACAGTACGAAGGATACGCTGTATTTTAGGAAGAAATTTCCCGCATTCTTCAAAGCAGAGGGGTGAGAGTGATGTCTGTGTTTGGCTATAACTTGTTCCCGTATCCGATAGAATGATAATGGCGATTGAAGCGACACTACCGTGAACTATTAGAAAAAGTTTTGTACTGATATGTCGTCTTCTATTTCGTGAGCAGACTCTAGACACTATTCTACACTTTGGAGAATTCAATTGTTATTATTGTTACTAAACCACTTTTATGCAGATAACTAAACTTCGATGTTTAGTTTGTGTGTAAATGTAAGTTTTTGGGCATCAGAATGGGTGGTCCTTTGCGTACTGAATGTTTTGACTGGCAAAAGGAATCCTTGCTTTAATCTTGCCGCATTAATGCTAGTCATTTTAATGCAAGAGCTTAGCAACTACGCTGCATTTTACGAAATTCTATGCTAATACTTTGACAACTTTTGGATGAGTTTCATTGAACCAACATTACCTTGAATTTTCTGAAGGTCCTGCAGTGTACACTCTTCCGACTGCGTTAGTGTGTGATGACGGCGGTGCTCGTCTTATTTCTCTAAGCTACTGATGGTTAGTGAACATGTGCTGCACATTGTTTACATCTACAACGCAATAGAATGCGTGGATAACAATAAGTTGATAAGTCTGTTGATTACAAATCAGTTGTTGGTACCTTGGATTGCATTGTGGTCTCCTCGCATAATCATCTCATGTTCAAAATGTTTCCCGGAAATAGTTCGTACCTTGTCAAAAGTTATTTAACACAAACTAAATTTGGCTTTCTTTTGAGACCAGCAGGATTCCTTGACCATGTTGATTGGGTTTCGACACTTCAAAATGTCAATAAATTCAACGCGTATTTGATCATAATTACCTTTTCTGATACGTTTTTTAGCACTCGATTGCATCACGCACTGAAGATATATTTTGTTGTCCTAAGTGTCGAATATTATGAAGTAGGCTAGCAGCATACAGCTTTCTTGTGTTCGAAACTGATGCGTGGAAGTTGATCTCCTTTTCACTTTTAGGGTGCGAATCCTTCCCACCTGGAAAAGAAAATCGGCAAAGACCAATTTCCATCCAATGAACATTACTACGGTCTTGTGAACGTGAGTTTTTGTTTTTACTCTTATTCAACTGCAGTTCGGAAACACCTGCTACTGCAATTCTGTTCTCCAAGCGCTTTTCTTCTGCAAACCATTTCGCAATCGAGTTCTCCTTTATCGCCAACAGAGCAAAGGTCAAAAGAAAGAGACTCTACTCAGCTGCCTAGCCGACCTCTTTTATGCAGTTACTACAAAAAAGAAGAAGGTTGGTCAAATCCCACCCAAGAAGTTTGTCCAACGTCTAAAACGAGAAAATGGTAGATTTCGTTTATTGCTATCAGTCTTTTAGTTCTCTTTGACAACTACTTACCTCAGGATGCTCACGAGTTTCTGAACTACCTCCTTAACCAAATTGCAGATATTCTACAGGGTAAGGGGTTGGCTTTTACTTGCCCATCTCGACCTGTCTAGCGGAAAATACAAGTGAAGAAACGACGAAGAAAGGAAGTTTGGCAGGAGGGGACGCTGATATCAATAGAGGAGAGAACACACGAACATGGATACACGAGATTTTCCAGGGCACTCTAACAAACGAGACCAGGTGTCTAAATTGTGAAACTGTCCGCACAAAAGACGAGGATTTTTTGGATCTCTCTGTGGACATTAAACAGTATACAAGCATTACAAACTGTTTGCAGTGCTTCTCCAATACTGAAACCATTCAATCTGAGAATAAATACTATTGCGAGGTCTGCCGATGCAAACAAGAAGCACAGAAAAGGTTTCTTGATACCGTTATACTTATTTCCGTAAATTTGGTTATTACTTAGGTCGTTGGTTAATTTTATGACGAACTAGTCTCTGCTACGGCATAGAACATTGGCCGTTAGCTAAATTGTTTGGTTCTTCCTTCGTTAACAAAGATATATGAAGACTTCCTTCGGTATTTACCTTGGAAGTACAGGTCGTCTGTTAGCCGAGAAACAATAAAGTGTCGTGTGATATAATTCATACGATTGCCATAACAGCCACGGAATGATATACTCGCTGGCGCTACTCCTGTGAATCTACCAGAGCAGTTGATGACAGCTTTTAGTTTCCTTTGATAATGGCATAATTCAAAGGGATTCAATACAACTTGTTATAAAATAAACGGACGCGTTTTTACCGTGCCTTCCTTTCATTTTCTTGCGTTCTAGAATGCGAGTGAAACGGCTGCCAGAGCTGTTGGCGCTTCACTTGAAGAGGTTTAAGTACTCTGAGAATGCCAATCGGTTTATTAAACTTTCCTATTATGTCCCATTCCCTCAAGAGCTTCGTCTCTTCAATACAGTGAGTTTCATCATTGTTGCTTCCCCTCTTCATCTTTACTAAAAGACATGCAACTGATCTCATTCATCCATGCTAAGGCTTTAAATATCATTGGTTCTGGGTGCATGTTAAGATCTGTCTTCTGCATTCAGCACACGTTGCTTTGGCATATCGTGGCATATTGAAATTGATTCTGCTGATATTCCAGTGGCTACGATGTAAAAAAGGCTGGTCTTATTCAACCCACAAAATTTTAGAAACCTTGTGTTTTAACCATTGAAAGGGGCCGGGTATTTGAAATCACTTACTTCTCTCTCCATTTCTGTTGTGCGATCATTTAGAGACCAAGCCACTTTTTTCCATCCGTCAAATTCATTTGCAGATTCTCCTACTTTATCCCTTATTTATTTATTTTTCGAGCTCGTTTACGAGCCTCATGTCTTTACCCTCGTGCTGAAATACTGTTTGTCCAGCACTACAGTTCTACCCATTCTATCTTTTTATTGTGATTGTAGGTATGTCATAATCTTTCGTAACTGATTGCTGTGGCATTGCTTAAGTACTTTTAAGGGTTCCAAAAAGCTGAATTATACGAACGGCTTAACGTCATTGCCGTGAACGAATCTTTCAACTAATCAGGCAGAGGTTACTGTGAGAGGGTTTGGGGGTAGGGCTGTTAACAACTGTGATATGACCGATACATCTAGATCTTATGAACTCCACCTGATGAATTACGGTAGTAATTGGTTCATTTCACAAAGAGATGTTGGTGAGCTACACCAATTGTCTCTTGTAGTAGTGTTGAAACTGAATGAGATGGAAATGGCATCATTCAGCGATTGCCTTGATCAGCTTGGTAGATGCCAAAGCTCTAGGTTGTGACTGATTGACAGGGTCTAAAATTGTCATGATGGATTTCTTTTATTAAGGATTTATCATCAGAACTGGGCTTTTGGTATTGTGAGTCACTCTTGATTATGTAATAAGGCAAACTAGTTTGTGGAAGGGTTTCCTGTGTCTTAGTAGTGACCAGGGAACGAGGTTCTAGACTTCGGCACTGACTCTATGGCTGGAGTCGGAGGGAATTGGCGAGTCTTTAATGTTCAGTCAAAACAACCGTACAGGTTGGTGAATTTTGGTGCGAATTGTTGGAAAGCCTGCCTGAAGGCAAACATGTTCCATTGAATTGTCAGTGCATTTTGCCCTCGTGGAGTCATTAGTCGTTAAGGCTATTTAGCGATGGACGTGATAATGTCTCACCCGTCTCTTTTGGCTAGTCTGACGATGCGAGCAATCCGGACCAGCTCTATGAGCTTATGGCTGTGGTAGTTCATTCTGGCTCAGGGCTGAATCGCGGCCACTACATCAGTCTGGTCAAGTCCGATGGCATTTGGCTCCTATTCGATGACGAATATGTCGATGTAAGTTCGTCAATTCTGCGTTTATAACTGCGTATTTTCTTGGGACGTGTTGCTGACCTCAACCATGAAATGTCCTTTTATCATGCTGACACCTGTTTTTCAAAAGTGCATGATACTTTAAAATGCCTGAATGTTGGTCTACTTACTTCAGTACTAATTGATGGCAGGGAGAGATCGAAGCGTGTGAAGCTCCTTTTTATTGTTTTTTTTTCTAGAAAATTGATCCTGCAAACATCCGTGACTTCTTTGGGACCACCTCAGAGGCTTCAAAAACCTCCGATTCGGCGTACATTCTCTTCTATCAGGCCTGTGACTTCTCTCATTCTGCAAGCACTCAATCGGGCGCTACTGTACAGTCACCGCCTCCGCAGTCGCCTCCACCGTCGTCACAGTCATTATATACCGCTGACTCGGTCCGATGAGCGCCCTCATGTCTCACTTCCTTCTGCTCCCGGTACTGATTGGTCAATGAACCTATTTTAACGCCTCACTTCCGCCTCCTTCCTATTCTTTGGTCTTTTTACTTTCTGAATCGTCTTTCACGTGCCATTTTTGGTTTTCATTTCGGATATTGCCATCGTCACTATCACCACTATCGTGCATAAATAAATTTTACACCATTCTTACGAGAACTGAACCTTTACCGCTAGTAACGTCACTGTCACAACCCTTACCATTGTGCGATCTCCGCAAGTGCCGATTTAGATTCGTCGAAAAGGATACTCATTGTGGATATTTGGAGACTTTCTTGCTTTCAAGTGGTTGGGTTTTTTTGAAAACTCAGTATCGGGCGGTCATGGCGGCAGGACGTCTTTTTCATTGCTGAAACTCATGCATTGGCGTTCAGTCTCCTGCATCGACTCCATATCGTTGGCTTGGTTTGATGTTTGAGTGCTCTACCTGCTCTTTGTCTCACATTCTCTCAATCATTTAGCGAGAACTTGAAAAATTGTATTGTGCCAGCTGGAAGCAAAGCCAATCCAAAAAGAGCAGCTGTCCTGCTCTTCTATGGCTGAATGCCACCCTTAATGAGCATCTTTTTTTTTGCACTTATTAAATTAATCAAAAGTGAAACCCCAATCTTGTGTTGTGATGGAACGTCATTAATAATTGAGGCAAAGTTAGAACCAAATCGGTATGGAAAAAGCCAAGCCATTAGGCTGCCTACTGTGACTGCACGGAAAGGCAAATGCTTCTGCGTGTCTCCAACGCCTACGTGGAATGCAGATGGACAAATGGATGGACGAGTAAATAAATAGGCAGATAGATTAGCAAATTTATTAGCTATGGCACTAAGGGGAGACGAGTGGGCAAGAGTTGGGAGTGTGCACTGGCATGAACTGAATGCCTACTAATGTTTACATCCCATTATGGCTAGTGGTTGGAGTGCTTTTACCATTTTAACTAAAAGGGATTTGAAGTTGAAAGTGTAGCAGTGGGGGATAATTGCTGCTATTTGACTGCCATTTTTGGGTGTGATTACATGGGCAGCCATACCGTCGTCAGCGAGTGAAATGGTATTTGAGGTCTGCAGTCATCTTCTGCCAAGTGGCCTGGCCTCTGGGCCACGTCAAAGGCTCAACTAGGCGTTTTTACATCTGAGTACTGCCAAAAGGAAAGTCTCAAGGCGTTATGCCAGTGCGAGCGAAAAGCAAACCAGACCATGTAACGACTATTGTCTTGGCTTCAACCAGCTGCGACAAAGTTCAAGCGTGTAAACGAAATATAATTGCTACGGGCGGAAGGAACTCGGATGTCTCAACTAGTAAAGTACCACAAGCGATGTCTGCATTGTGAAATAGACCTCAGGTGAGCGGTTAACAAATGACGCGGCACTGCCGTGAACCTTCTGGAATTAATTGCCCTCGGGGCTCACTCTAACTGATCTCAGTAGAGATAGCAGCGACTACACTACGATAAACCACTTCCACCGACACTACTTTTAACCACATTCTCACGATGAGACAATTGTATTTGATCACTGTTTACTGTAACTTCCCGAAACAAAACGCGTTAGACATGACTAAATACCTGTACTTAGAAGGAGACTTCCTACTTAGCCAAGATCAAGATAGGGCCTAAAGTGACCGCAAGTCACACAGATAGCCGAATGCACAAAGTAATGGAAATCCGACGTCTAGTCTTGTACACAAATAACGATCAAAAGAAGGACTTCAATCTCGTTTTTGTTTCGGATTCAATGCAATTGTAAATTAATTTGAGGCTGCTGAGACAGCTGTGAAGACGGACTCATTTTCGTAGGAGTCAATTGCAATGCTTTGATTATGTTACAACCTGATGTCTAAGGGTTACTTTAAGATTCGTCTGGTCCTTGTACGCATGGGCTGGCTTTGAGTCCAAGCTCAGGTTTAATCTACTGGTTCTCCTTGAAATACATGGAGTTAGGTCCCTTCCTGCCTTCTTTTACCCTGGGGGAAGTCTCGAGATGCTACACCAATGACCGAAGTATGGATTTTCCTTGCTACATAGTGCTCTATTGAGGGGGGAAAAGGGAATGCTGCTCAGAAGAAGATTAGTAAACACTCATTTATCTTTAAATATCGAAACATCCAGCAGCGATTTGGCGGTCATATGGCTTCTAGGGATGAACGACTTTCTAGCTAAGTCAAAGTTCCTATTCTACACTTTCTGCCCAAATTTACTCAGCCAATTCTTTGTATAATTTTGCGAAATGGAAAATCTCAGAAGGTCATTCTTAGCGTGAGACTATCACAAAAATCTATGGCTGTAGTACATTGTTTGTGTTGTCGTCTAATATCTGGTGGTCATTTTTTAGATTCGTCAGGCCCCTGTAACCGTGTGTTGGCCTTCGGGCCACACATAGTCATAATCTTATTTCGCCAACTAAAATACCTATATACAGCTTCACTTAATGCCTTCTACCCAATGCAAAGTCTCATTGCTTTACAATTAAAAGTTTTAAGTGTTACTCAAAGGTAAAAATGCAAAAGATCGGCGAGAACGAAATCAAAAGTATTAATTAGACTACTGGTAATGCATAGCCTGATAAATATATATGTATACAACAATGTTTAAAAACTTAGATAATTTACTTAAAAGCTTTTTAGCTAAATATAGTACTACAGTGAAGAGATAAATTAAAATTGAATGTGTTTAATTCTACCGAACCGTATCATGTGCCCTCAAGGTATAATTTGTGCGTATTTTAATTAGTTTGTGCCAATGTGTCTGTGCAAAACGATACTATCGTCTCCTTAAAAGCCCTAATTTTTTCAAATTATAAGTTTTCGGAATTAAAAATTGAACCTTATTTGAGTGACGATGTCACGGCGTGGTCAGGCCAGGGAAGACCAATACGTTGGCCCCTACCGACTGGAAAAAACACTTGGCAAAGGACAAACTGGTAAAGCGAATTCTTACCTCACCTAGATGATTTATAGGCCTTGTTAAATTGGGTGTTCATTGTATCAGCGGTCGCAAAGTTGCCGTTAAAATTGTCAATCGTGAAAAATTAAGTGACAACGTTCTTCAGAAAGTTGAGCGGGAAATTGCAATTATGAAGCTTATAGAGCACCCGCACGTCCTCGGTCTATACGACGTGTATGAAAACCGCAGATATTTGTAATGATATTTATTATCAAACTATGGTAGATTTCTTATTTTGGAACACGTTTCTGGCGGAGAACTTTTTGATTATTTGGTAAATAAAGGCCGGTTGTCAACGAAGGAAGCTCGGAAATTTTTCAAGCAGATTATATCAGCGATTGACTTTTGTCATAGTCACTGTATATGGTAAGTGTTTGATTAGAACTATGCGTTTTACTTCTCACTTAATATTCTTAAAATTTTTGCCAATTTTTCGTTTTTAAGAAGCATATTTTGCGCTTAAACAAAGTTGTTTTGTAATAAGTCTTTTTGACATCAAAGTTCTAAAAGTCGTAGCAAAATTCGGTAGATACAATTTGCAGTAATTTGTTATAAGCATGCCGAGCTGGCGCCTTAAATCCGAAATTTCTTAAACTAACATGATTGCAAGATTGCATAAATAAGTGTTTCACAAATCCATAAGCGTTAGGTGGTTACATTTTGGTTGTTTCTTGGTGTTCTCCACGTAATGATTTATTCCATTTAAGTTATCTAGTATTCTGTTCGGATACGACAAAATAAAAGGGAATTTCGTTGTTCCGTTTAATTGTGATTGTTGGTAATATTTTGTTTTTATTACCAAAATACTTAAATACGAACAATATTCATTCCTTCCCATGGAAGCTTTCAGTTTTTGACCCTCTTAGTGCTTGAATTGCTGGTTTATGTGATTGCTCTTGCATCTATGCTACTCCGGAAATAAACCCTGCAAAACAAATGATTTATTTTGCCTCAATGATGATAATTAATCTACTATGAGGATGAGTCTGTTTTCTACTCAGAGCAGACCAGACCACACCTTAAGTGTGGAGCACTTGATGGACGGTCAGTTTTTTCGAAAAATAATGGCCTGATAATCTCGGCTTCTGTTTTCACCATTAACAGGCCACTGTGATACCTGAATCGTTGCATTTTTTGTAGTCACAGGGACCTAAAACCGGAGAACCTTCTCCTGGATGATAAACTAAATATTCGAGTTGCTGACTTTGGAATGGCTTCATTGCAACCAGAGGGTTCTCTACTGGAGACTAGTTGTGGGTGAGTTGGATCGCTGTGTTATTCTGATTTATTAATTCTCGTCGACTGATTAACTCCATGAGAGTTTAAGTTAAATTCTGGTCAACCTTTAATTAGTGCGCAAAATTGAATGTAAAATTTAATGTTTTTCTACTTAACTTTAAACAAACTACTAAATAGTGATGAGGATTCCTCTCACGCCAACGTGTTCCTTTTTGATAGCTTAAAACAGGCCATTTCCTCTCCCCCCTTCCACGATTTCATCTCCACCAAAATCATGACTGTTTGGGCCAAGGCGAGCAAATTCAAATTTACTCTCCTCCTACTCTACTTTATGAGGTCTTTTAGAAAGGGTTTTCTTGTGTAGGCATTTGTGCACCTCGCCTTTTGGTCTGATAACTTGATTGCTTTCCACCACACCCTCTAATTTTGACTTAAAATGGCACGATCCTGTTGGACTAAGGGTTGAGCGAGAACTGCGTGTTTGAGTCACTTGGTTTTATTGTTACACATCCACCGTTATGACGTTGATTAGGCAAACTGCAAAGGGTGACGAGACCAAGCTTGATCTTGCAGGTGGTAGAGACCTGCTTCCTTGCAGAGCAGCAAACAACGAAAATACTGGTCTCCATGTCTTGTCTACACGCTTCGATATGATGAAAATTTTTGCGGTCAATCGCTAACATTGTCCCCTTTTCAACTTTTTAGACTTTTTTAAATTGCTGTAGTGAGGGGAGGGGGTCTAACTCAGGTCACTGCAAGGTCAATTAAAAAGGTCAACAATATACTTAAAAGCCTCTCACTCCCTTTAAGGGATGGGAAAGGTGATCTGCTATTAATGTTAGGGGATCTTTGTGTTTCCACGTGGCTGTAATTTCTACCCAAAATGTAAACCAACAACGTACTCAGGGCGAAGTAATATTGTGTAATAATTTCAAAGGGCATTGTTTCCAAGTTTCACGATTTATTTATTGGAAAGGAAACGCTTCATTTCCTTTTTTATAAACAATAGACAGGAATTTGGCAATGTCAAACGTGAAATTGGCAGCCTCAAAAGAATGCAAGTCCTCTCAATCGCCCCTTTTCAAGGTAGCAAGTCGTGACTTGCTGCGTTAGACATTTCTGACTGACATAACGTAGACTAGACAACAAATGAAGGCACAAAGATAAATTCCATCATTACAACTGAGGGTAAACACTTCTGTCTTGGCGATTAACCTTTACTTCACAACACCTGTCAACAGGGGATATGGAAAGGAAAGTATTCGCTTTTATTAAGTTCTTTTTTTCATACTTAAATTTTTTTCCTGCTTTTGCTTAAACACCCTATCACCGTCTTTGGCTTAAAGTTCAAAGCGACTTAAACTTAAGGAAATCTCCACCACAGGCGTCCAGATGTTCCATCCTTCCGCTTCCTGCAGATTTGCCAAAATCAAAAGAAAAAAATGATGAAAAAGGAAGGAAAAAAAAGTGATTACGCTCTGTAGATAGAGAAGGCTCCTACCGACCTCCACTCACCTTTAATGTCAGACGTTTTTCTGTTCCTTTTTTTTTTTGTGCAACGCATGAGTTGATGAAAACAGCTGCCACCGTTAAATGCGAGTGCACACGTCACCTTCCTGTGACGCCAATCATAAACACAAAAATAAAAGTTGATCAGGTCAACTTGCATGCTCACATCAGGCAAATCTTTGAAGTATGTTGCTCAAAAAGGAGCAAATGACAAGTAATCAGCATTAAAGAATTTGTGGTGCGTCAAATTGTTGGTAGATTTCTTTGTGAATTTCCTGTCTTCTGATTGGCTGGAAATGGTGTATTAAAAATTTAGTCACTTTTTTGTGGTTTTTTGACAACCAACGGGACGATGCATAATCAGCCTTCATTCACACTCCCATTTTACTTGTATTTCTTTGCTTTTTTAAATGGAAAAGATCTGGTGGAGGTAAATACCTTAGCAGTACCTCCACTTTGGAAGGAAACCAGTTTTCCATAAATAATAACAATAATAATAATTACTGTCAACTGGTGTAGGAAAAGTGCAAATTAGTTTGACTTTGCAGAGGTACGATTTTCTGCCTCTACTCCACCATTTGTGGAGCGCGTTCGGGTTCTGACGTGACTATTAGCCTGTCATTAATTTTCGTTAATAATTCATCCCCACGGCTTGCCTAGCCCGTCCATTCAGTGCTACCACTCCATTTGCCTCCTATCTACGCCCAGCTTTAGCCACTACCCACTTCATTCGAATCGCTTCAAAAGGCCAATGAGGAGGTAGATCAGGACGAATGACACAACTACTACTTCGTGCCTTTTCCAGCTCCTCTATTGCTGACCCTGTAGGCGAACAGATTGAAGACATTCGCTGTGGAGGAGTGCGAGCTAAGGCCTCCATCAAGTTCGCTCAATTGTGTCATCACATTGTGAGGCGAAATGTTGTGTCATGTATACTGTTAGGTGTTTGTACACCTCACTGAACAAGTTGCTCTTGACACCCTCCATGGGGAGGCCTCCACTTTTCCCTCTGCCATTGCAGGCACTTCTCGAATGTCTAGGATATCCAAAGAGGAGAGCCGTGCGATAGTACTACTATCTCACTTTAATGAATTACAACTTAAAGCTTGATTCAACATCAGTTTGCAAGAACGTTGTCAACTTCGTCTTAAGGCCCATTCTTGGCTCCTTGTTAGTGCGTATTTGTTAAAATCCGATCTGTAGATCAAATGTTGAAGATGGCAGATGACTAATGAGTCGTGGGAGGAGTGTAAGGCTCCTCTCTTTCTCTCTCTCTCTCTCTCTCTCCCTCTCTCCTGCTTTCCGCTGATTAAAGCAGGCTAAATGAAGGCACGCACACACCTCCTCGATCCTGTTTGTTGGGGTCTGCAAAAATCATTGCCCACAGACAGAAGGGCGACCAGCATTGTCCTCTTACCAGTGTGAGAATGCTGGCGTTCAGTGTCGTTTTTGAATTTTTACCCAACCATCCTGGTCCGGCTAACATAGGAGCGCCAATATGGAGGCAACTCACCTTTTAATATTTTTACCCACGACACGCCCTAGTTGCCTAGATGGACGCTTGCCTTTTACTTCCTCCCTCCCCTAATTACAGTACACACAGAGCATTGGTAGTCAAACCTAAATTTTCCTTAAAGTCAAGCCTTTCCTAGTTGGAAGTGCCAAAGCCATAGTTGCTGATGCACTATAGAGCTGCTGGTGGGAGATTTTTGACTCGCCTCAAACCCATCAAAAGTGGCGCTTTTTGAAGCACCGAGGCGTCTATGTATTCGTGTGTATTTTTTTTTTCTGTCCAACTCTCTCTGTGGCAGGCTTAAGGCGCTGCTCAAAGTTCAAGCTAATTTTATTTTACCACTTAC